TATTTATCATACTTCACTATACTACTTCATTTACCAAAACAGTATAAGTTTGTAATAAATAAATTTTGAAGATCTTTGCAAGATTCCAATCCATGATTAGAAATACAATGCAATAAGTAACACTGTCAGAAATAATTAATGTTATTACAAATAATTGGTTTCCTCATTTTTCAGAAAAATCACGCCATTCAATATGGCGTGTGAGTGCGGTAGAAGGTCACGACCTACAAGTTGGGAATATGTAAACAGTTCTTCTTTCTGTTCTCACAGACGTCCTCTAAACGATCAACTGAATCATAAAATGTTTGTAGAATGAAATGATCTTCAGCACAAATCATTTTAATTGTAGCTATCGTGTGTATCTGGTAAGTTGGCAGGTGGAACGAGTATGAACTTATTAGTTCATGTATCAACTTACTAGACATAGTGGATTAATTTAGTTAACAGAATATGTAACAGAATTGTTTGAGATTGTGGTGTATACATTAACTGTTATTAGATTGAAATATAATTAAAAATTGTTTAATGAAGAAAGGTATGATAAAATTATTTTGGTTCTGATATTTTTGTTAAGGTGGGAAGAAAAAATTGTAGAACTACATTCTCAAATTTTTTAATAATTGTGAATTTCGAATTTGAAGTTTTCAGATTTGTAGAGGTTTAAGTTTGTACTCTCCCAAATCCTCAAACGTTTGTGTAATAACTTTCAAAGCAGAGTTCAAAATCGATCACAATTCTTTAATAAGTTACAGTTACAATATTTCTCGATGTAACATTTCAATAAAGTACACAGAAAAACCGTGAGACAAGAGTTCGAAGAATCTCTGAGGTTTGTTATGATCAATTATAATACTTAAGGTATCACTGTTATCATTCTATTCGATTTTGAGATGAACTCCGACATTTCGAAGCTTTTTTTCAAACTTTGAACGCGTCTCGGGTTCAAAAGTCGATCGAATCTCTCGACTGACGAATCGAGCATCGACTATTCGTAAAGCTGAAACGTTCTATTTATTTCTTATTCACGAATTTATTGAATTTTATTCCATCAAAAAGAATTATTTTTCTGTAATGATGGTTTTAGAAAATCTCCAGTTACATAAAAAAGGAAAATCGAGAGCTTGTTATCTTGATGAAAAAAACTAAAATAAATTCTGTCGACTTACATCAAAATTAATTATATATTTTTATAAGTTCTAGTTTTTGTAAATAATAGATTGTCGATGGTGGAAAACTCGAAAATTGTAAAAATCAAAATAAATTCCGTCGATTTTGCATCAAGATTAATTACATATCTGTAAGTTCGAGCTTTGTAAACAACCGATTACGGAACGTTTCAACAATTCTAAGAATACTGCAAACATTCGTTTCCTCGAGTAACTGCGCTAAATTGTACCGACGCTCGGTAATTTCGTGAATGAGTTACACTCGATAATTATTAAACGATATACCTATGGAATGCTCCTTGTTTCACATCATTCGCGGTGTCTCGTACACCTCTCACGTAACATCTCACACACACACACATTTAACGACTATATTTACAAAGGATTTGGCAAGTTTCAACAGCAGTCGCTATAATCTAGTGCAGTCGATCTTTTGAACGCTGCCGGTGAACGCGGGGTTCGAGAGGCCTTCCTTCTTTCTGTGCTTCTTCTTCAGTGGCTCACTCCTGAAAAATTCAATTTAATATTAATAAATACTAATTAATACTAAGCATTAACCATTAATTTAAATATTGATGACATTAATATATGTCATATATGTCGACATAAATGTTAATGTTACACAAATGAGATATAAAGATATAAAAGAGAAATACTCACGAGGATACGCAGGGGACCCACCAGAAGCTCTGCTCTTTACCGAAGTCGTTGCCCTCCTGAAGAGTCTCAGGCAGCTCTTGATTCAAGGTTTCTGGCAAACCCAAGGTCAAGAACGCGTGGATGAAGGACAACAAGCCCAGGGTAACCAGAGGTAGAGCTGGGTCGACGTCAGCCTTTAGTCAAACAAAAATTCTCAGTCAGTGAAAATTATTTTTATATAGGGTGAGACACTTAAAACAAGAATATGTTGTTGATACAAAAAAATGCACTAGGCAAAAATTATTTGGGATTATGGACCTAATTTAACCTCAGCAAAAATTATTTGGAATTATGGACCTAATTTAATTTAAGCAAAAATTATTTGGAACTATGGACTTAACTTAACTTCGGCAAAAATTATTTGGGATTATGGACCTAACTTAACCTAAGCAAAAATTATTTGGTATTATGGACCTAACTTAACTTCAGCAAAAATGATTTGGTACTATGAACTTAACTCAACCTAATCAAATAATGTTGACCTGATGAATTTTTTCTATAATAATATAATAATAATTGCATATAATATAATAATATAATAATAATTAAAACCTACTATAATAACAGCAGTTAAATTATTTAGGTGGTTTTAAGTGTCTCACCCTGTATATTCAACTGATTATTATTGAAAGATGGACTTAATTTTTCTAGTAATAAATTGAATACGTATACATTGAATGTACAGTAGGTTGAATATACAGTAGAATTTTCTAAATTACTCACTAGGTAAATGATGTATGGTCCCAAAATATGAGCAACGTAGCCGATGATGTGGATCAGAGACACACCTTGTGCTCTCACCACGGTAGGAAGCATTTCAGCTGCATATTGAAAACCAATATTCGCAGCGATGTTCACGCCGAGACGTGCTACGATCGCCATGGCTACCGTTGGAGCACCTTTGGAAAAAGAATTGAATATACAATCGGTTGCAATGCAAATATAGTTTAAATCTAGGAAAAATGTAAAACCAGAAAGAGCTTAAAAATAACCCTAAATTCCCTAATTTGCAGGATTCAAATTTCCGAATTCCCTATTTCTCAAATTCCAAATTCTCAAATTTCCAAACTCTCAAAATTCTAAATTCTCAAATTTCCAAACTCTCAAATTTCCAAATTCTCAAATTTCCAAACTCTCAAAATTCCAAATTCTCAAATTTCCAAATTTTCAAATTTCCAAACTCTCAAATTTCCAAATTTCCAAATTCCCAATTTCTCAAATTCCTAAATTTCCAAATTCCCAATTTCTCAAATTCCAAATTCTCAAATTTCCAAACTCTCAAATTTCCATACTCTCAAAATTCCAAATTCTCAAAATTCCAAACTCTCAAAATTCCAAATTTTCAAAAATTCCAAACTCAAATTTCCAATCTCTCAAATTTTCAAATTCTCAAATTTCCAAACTCTCAAATTTCCAAATTTATAAATTCAAAAATTTTAATTTCAAACTCCAAAATTATCAAATTCCCAATTTCTCAAATCCCCAAATTTGCAAGTTCCAAATTTCCAAATTCCCAACTTCTCAAATCCCAAAATCTCCAAGTCCCCAAATCCCTAAATTCCCTATATTTCCAAATTCCCAACTTCTCAAATTTCCAATTTGCAAATTTCTAAATTTCCAAATCCCCAAATCCCACAAACCCCAAAATGTCCAAATCCCCAAATCCCAACTTCTCAAATCCCCAAATCCCCAAATCCCTAAATTCCCTACATTCCCAAATTCCCAACTTCCCAACTTCCCAATTTTGAAATCTCCCAAATTGAACCTTGCTGAATCCACTAAAACCCCAAACAAAAACCTAAGAAAACCCAGTAACCCTTCTCCAAATCTCTAACCTAAGAAGAATCCCAAAACAACGATAAGCAAATATAGAATTCAAAAAGAACATAAGAAGAACTTAAAATAAAATTATGAAAACCCTAAAAATACAGAAAGGAAATTTTCAAGTGCTTTGAATGAACGAGCGATCAATCAATGAGAAAAAGGGAACGTACCATGAGGCGTGGCCAAGGCAACGAAAGAGAAAATTCCACATAGGAACATGGACGCAAAACCCATCCATCGTCTTCCCCATCTGTCCAGAAAGAGTGCGAGGAGAATCGCGGCCGGAAGTTCGGTGAGCGAGGCCAAAGAGAAGGACGTGAAAACGTCGGGATCCAGAAGTTTCATGTTCCATACGTGGCCGTCGAACACCCACACCATCAGGAGCCTGCAAACCAGTCGATTAATAAATGCTTTACTAGCTTTTCCTTTTTCTATGATTCTCAATGTCAAGTCAGGTACTCATTTGCACGCGAAGCAGTGAACAGAGCTGGCGAATACAATCGATACTTATAGGTACGTAGTCGAAGGCCGTAGCAATCTGCTGAATGGTGTTGCTAATTTTAAATTGGTATTTTTTTATTTTAGGTGGTTAGGTTAGGTTAGTTTGGTTTTGGTGCGAGGAGAACTTGGGTTTTTAGGGGAATTGTAGGGTTTGGAGGGTTTAAAATTGGGGATTTGGGAATTTTTAGGTTTTTGAGGGATGAGGATTTTTATAGTTGGATGTGGAGGTTTTTGAGTTGAGAGATTGAGGGTGGAAATTTTTGGAGTTATAAATTTAGAAATTTTGTAAGGTTGGGTTGTGGAGTTTAGAGATTTCTGAATTTGCGATTTTTTTGATTTTTAAATTTGTGAGGTATCAAGGTTCCAAACTTTTAAATTCCCAAATTTCCAAATTCCCAATTTTTCAAATTCCTAACTTTTCAAATTCCCAATTTCTCAAATTCCTAATTTACCAAATTTCCAATTTCTCAAATTCCAAATTTCTCAAATTCCCAATTTCTCAAATTCCCAACTTCTCAAATTCCCAACTTCTCAAATTCCCAACTTCTCAAATTCCCAACTTCTCAAATTCCCAACTTCTCAAATTCCCAACTTCTCAAATTCCCAACTTCTCAAATTCCCAACTTCTCAAATTCCCAACTTCTCAAATTCCCAACTTCTCAAATTCCCAACTTCTCAAATTCCCAACTTCTCAAATTCCCAACTTCTCAAATTCCCAACTTCTCAAATTCCCAACTTCTCAAATTCCCAACTTCTCAAATTCCCAACTTCTCAAATTCCCAACTTCTCAAATTCCCAACTTCTCAAATTCCCAACTTCTCAAATTCCCTATCTCCCTAAACTCCCAACTTCTTAAATCCCCAAATCCCTAAATCCCTAAATTCCCTATATTTCCAAACTTCTAACTTCTCAAATCCAGAAATCCCCAAATCCCCAAATCCCCAAATCCCTAAATCCCTAAATTCCCTATATTTCCAAACTTCTAACTTTTCAAATCCAGAAATCCCCAAATCCCCAAATTCCAAAATTCCAAAATCCTAAAATCCCCAAATCCCCAAATTCCCAAATCCCCAAATCCGCAAATCCGCAAATCCCAAAATCCCCAAATCCCAAAATCCCCAAATCCCAAAATCCCCAAATCCCAAAATCCCCAAATCCCAAAATCCCCAAATCCCAAAATCCCCAAATCCCAAAATCCCCAAATCCCAAAATCCCCAAACCCCAAAATTCCCAATTTCTCCAAAATCCTCAAATTCCCAAAATTAAAAATGTCCACATCCCCAAATCCCCAAACTCATTTTCCAATATCCCCTCTATAAAAGTCTAGCCAATATCCCCTATAAAATAACCTATTACATTACAGATTGTCATATTTACCAGTAAACGACAAGCATAATGGTGATACGAGCGAGCCGTGGCATTTTAAATAGATCGAGAACGGTGTACTGATTATGCGACTTATCCTGCTCGATCATCGATTTGCAGCTTCTCTCGAACTCGTCGAATACTTCCTGCTTCACCTCTTTCCCGTTCACCTTTGCAAATTTCTTCAGCATCTCGATCGCTTTGTCGACTTTGCCGCTGGTGATATACCACCTGAAAGAGGTGTAACGAAACGGGGTGTATGAGATGTACATCTATTTATGCAGATTCGTATTCTTATACTATGGCGGAGGCATATAAGTTTCTTTCGTTTTGCATAAATGATTAGGCAAATTTTACATAAGTTAGTTCTGCATACTTTCATATATTATTATACTTTTATTATCTTTGCAATTGTATAGATTATTATTGAATTATGTATAGAGTTTGAGACCTTAGCTGTAGGTTACACATGTCACATATGTTGACCACGTTAGAAGTCGTCTACGTATCAATGTTTTTAATAAATAAGAATTTTAGTGATGTTACAAGTATATTTTAAATACCATGCACTTTCAGGAGGCATGCAAGTTTCTTTCGTTATGCACAAATTGTAATTACACAATATTTACATAATTTAGTTCTGCATACTTTCATGCATTATTACACTTTTATTATCTTTGCAATTATATATATTATTATTGAATTATGTATAGAGCTTGAGACCTTCGCTGTAGGTCACATATGTCACATACGTTGACCACGTTATAAGTCGTATAAATAACAATGTTTTTAATAAATAAGGATTTTACAAGTACATTTTAATGATGTTACAAGTATATTTTAATTACCGTGCACTTTCAGGAGCGATCCATGGTCCAATGAAAGCCACCACCATGGGACAAGCGGTGACCATGCTCAGAATCCTCCAGTTCGCGATCCAGTAAGCGAGCCATGGTAATATACTAGAAGCCACGGCGAAGTAAAGTCCGAAAGACATGTTCGCTACCAGTGTTCGATACTTTGGCCCCACATATTCTATCACTGAAATAAAATTAGCCTTTCATTAAAATTATTATTACAACCAGAAAGGTGTACTTTTATGAAAAACAAAAATATATAAAAATTTCTATTTTCACATCTTCGTATCCTGTTCTTGTTCATCTTGATGGCTATTTAATTCAATCTTGTCACTAATTAATAATACATTTTTATATAATTAATAATACATTTTATAGTATGTACATACATAGGTGAATGTCCCCATTTTGACCAGACAGAACCTCATACTTCTACAAAACGATTTTTGTAATATTTCTAATGTTCATTGCAAAATTGATCATCGTCTTACTTTGTACTGACTGTCATTTTAATTAGAAACTTTAACAAAGCTTGTTTCTCAACAAGCCATAAATCCCTGTCATTCTCACATCAATACCCCAATGCTTCAAACATCGTTAGCATAACCCCAGTTCTCCAACAGTCACTATTTTTACTTAAACCGTGACGGGAAACCAGTAACCGTAGCTCAAACTCGCTACGTTCATGGAAAGAGCGAGTGTGAATTACGTAAAAATAGAAACAGAGATAGTAACGTGTCCACGTGCGATAGTTCTACGCTAATTAAGCGTGTGACTCACCGATAATGAAGAGAACGTTGAAACAGTTGTCGAACGAGGTGCCGACGACTAATCTGGCGAGGCAGAAACTCCAGAAGCTGTTACAGAACGCTGTGCCCACGGACGCGATGAAACCGACCGAGTTGCAGGCGACCAAAGCTGAAATTCTGCCGTAATGGTCGGCTATGTAACCGAATATTAGACCGCCGATGATGCTGCCGACGAAGAAGGCCGACTGTGCCGCTGAACCCAGATAAGTGTTGTCGCAGACCCAGCCCAGCTGAAACGCGAAAGAAACAAACGACGTTGTAACTCGGATCAGGCGGATTTCGTGAAAATATGGGGCTGTGGAGAGAAAAAGTTACGAGGCTTTGGGATTTTTGGGGATTTGAGGAATTTTTGTAGTTTGGGAATACGAAGAGTTTGGGTGAATTGGGGAATTTGGGGAATTTAGGTGATTTTGGTGATTTGGGGAAGAGGAGAATTTAGGGAAAATTGGATGATTTGGGGAATTTAGGGAATTTAGAGAATTTGGGAAATTTAAGGAGTTTTGGGAATTTAGGGAATTTAAGGAATTTAGGTGATTTGGGGAATGTAGGGAATTTAGGAAATTTAGAGAATTTGGAGATTTAGGGAGTTCTGGGGAATTTAGGGAAATTGGAGAATTTAGGGTATTTAGGGAATTTAGGGAGTTCTGGAGAATTTAGGGAATTCAGGTGATTTTGGTAATTTTGGGAATTTGGAGAATATAGGGTATTTGGGGAATTCGGGAAATTTAGGGAATTTCAGTGATTTTGGGAATTTAGGGAATTTGAGGAATTTAGGTGATTTGGGGAATTTAGGGAAATTGGAGAATTTAGGGTATTTACGGAAGTTAGGGAGTTCTGGAAAATTTAGGGAATTTAGGTAATTTTGGGAATTCAGGGAATTTGGAGAATTTAGGGAATTTGGAGAATATAGGGGATTTGGGGAATTTTGGGAATTTGGGAAATTTAGGGAACTTAGATGATCTTGGGAATTTTGGGGAATTTTTGGGAATTTAGGTAATTTAGGAAATTTAGGGAATTTGGGGAATTTAGGTAATTTGTGGAATTTAGGAAATCAGGGGAATTTAGGTAATTTGGGGAATTTGGCTAATTTAGATAATTTTGGGAATTCAGATAATCTGGGGAATTTGGGAAATTTAGGTGATTTGAAGAACACGAGAAATTTAATAAAATTTAGACATCTTATGCAATTTATAAAATTGAGATAACTATCTCAATTTATAAAATTTAGATGACTATCTCGATTTAGTTAACTTTAGTTCAATTTTAGGGTAATATCTACTAATTTTAGAAATTTATCTCCACTGTATAGTTTAACTAATTCCAGTAATTTAGATAATACACAAAAATTTGGTAGATTGAGTAATATAGAAAATTCAGGAAAATTTAGAAGTCAACGTAATTTGGTAAATTTAGGTAAATTGAAAAACACAGGAAATTTGGAAAATTCAGGAAAAGAACACAAGTGAAATATCCCTATATATTCCTAGATTTATACTGAAATTCCTATTTCCTCAAATTCTTACTTACATATCTACGTTGAACCAATAAAAGTTCGACGAGTTAAACCAAAATTATCACTGACAATGCAAGCATAAATTTTCCTAAAAGTATAAAACGATAACGGTACACGCGCAGGTAACGATTATCGTGTTCGAGTGATCGTAAAAAGGTTTTTACAGTAGGGTATTAATTATTATATCCAAGGATACGTCAGTTAAGTACAGTGCACGTAGTTGCATAAATGTTAAGATACAAGAACATTTAAAGTCCGAAGTTAATACTCGAGGATAAAATTATAACTACAAAATTCGTTATAATTACCCTTCAAATATCGATGCGATAACGCGATGATAAAAATAAGAAGAGCTCTAAACGAGAGCCCTGATAACGACGATGAGCACAATAGGTAATTACACCTTTAGCCTAGGCTTGTGCAATCAACAAGGACACTTTCCTCAATGATAATGTTGTTTTCATCGTCGAAGTTAACGAGCAAAATCTGTATTAAAATACGCTCGTTGAACGAGTGATGACGAGATAACTGAAGCGTTAAATGTTCAGCAGTATAGTACACCTGTTATATATCCACTAATTGAAACTTTGGAACGAGAAGAAAATGCGAGTACTTCAGATTGTAATTTGCGATTCAATGTGGAATTATGAATTATGGAATTACGATTGAAATTTCTGATTACATACTGCGGATTATAATTTTAGATTATATACTTCGGATTATAATTTTAGATTATATACTTGAGGTTAAAATTATATATTCGGGATAAAAATTTTAGATTATATAGTTGAGATTAAAATCTCTGATTATATAATTGAAATTAAAATTTTAGATTATAAAATTCTGATAAGGAAACATAAATCACAACATTGTGATAAGAGATCATAAATCATGAGATTCAGATATGAATTACGAAATATAACATTTGGATTACGGTTTGTAAATTTCGGTTTAAGATAGGAAGATAAGGGACAGGGAAATAGGGAGATAGAGGAATGTTGCAATTGTGAGATGGGGAAGTGAAATGGTGGAACTGTGAAATAGTGAAATGGTGATATAGTGGAATGGTAAAATGATGTTATGGAGTAATTGTGGAATGGTGAAATAGAGAAATTGTGATATAATGAAATGGTAAAATAGTGTAATAGTACAATAGTGAAATATTGAAGTATTAAGATAGTGTAATAGTGAGATAGTTAATTAGGGAAATGGTAAAACAGTAAAATAGTAAAATAGTGAAATAGTAAAACAATAAAGCAGTAAAATAGTAAAATAGTAGAACAATAAAATAGTAAAATAGCAAAACAGTATAATACTAAAATAGTAAAATAGTAAAATAGTAGAACAATAAAATAGTAAAATAGTAAAACAATAAAATAGTAAAATAGCAAAACAGTAAAATACTAAAATAGTGTAATAGTAAAATGGTAAAACAGTAAAATAGTAAAATAGTGAAATAGTAAAACAATAAAACAGTAAAATAGTAGAACAATAAAATAATAAAATAGTAAAACAATAAAATAGTAAAATAGCAAAACAGTAAAATACTAAAACAGTAAAATAGTAAAATAGTGAAATAGTAAAACAGTAAAATATTAAAACAGTCAAACAGTAAAATAGTAAAACAGTAAAATATTAAAACAGTAAAATAGTAAAATAGTAAAACAGTAAAATAATAAAAGTGACTTACCTCGACAGCAATAGACTTATAAGGTATCATCGAGTGATTGAAACTCCATCCATTTTGACACCGTTTGATAGGCCAGGACAGATTTCCTTTTCTAACACCCTGTGACAATATTTCCTCGTAATTCACATCGTACATGGTACATCTTGAAAACGCGGTGGCATCTTCCGCCTTCAATTCTTCGGCCGACGCTGGTGGTATCGATAACGCGATTCTGGAAATAAAATCAATTATATCTTCATCATTTCCATCAACTTAAAAGACACTATAATAGTATAACCTAACCTACATCTTACATGTACACTTTTAAATATACATCTTAAAATTATGGTACTTAACTGTTATTCTTTTTATTGCAAATTAATTTCACAAACTCATTAATAGTCATACCTGACTATTTATATGAAAAGGAAACCACCTCGAATTCCCACATTCTCCAATTCCATATTTCCCAATTCCACATTCCCCAATTTCCACATTCCCCAATTCCAATATTCATCAATTCCAACATTCCCCAATTCCCACATCCCCCAATTCCTATATTGCCTAATTCCAACATTTATCAATTCCAACATTGCTCAATTCCCACATTTCCCAATTCTACATTCCCCAATTCCATGTTCCCCAATTCCCACATTTCCCAATTCCCACATTCCCCAATTTCCATATTCTCCAATTCCCACATGCCCCAATTCCCACATACCCCAATTCCTACGTACCCCAATTCCTACATTCTCCAATTCCAACATTCATCAATTCCAACATTCCCCAATTCCAACATTCATCAATTCCAACATTTCCCAATTCCCACATTCTTCAATTCCACGTTCCCCAATTCCCACATTCCCCAATTCCCACATTCCCCAATTCCCACATTCCCCAATTCCCACATTCATCAATTACAACATTCCCCAATTCCAACATTCATCAATTCCCACATTCCCCAATTCCTATATTGCCTAATTCCAACATTTATCAATTCCAACATTGCTCAATTCCCACATTTCCCAATTCTACATTCCCCAATTCCATGTTCCCCAATTCCCACATTTCCCAATTCCCACATTCCCCAATTTCCATATTCTCCAATTCCCACATGCCCCAATTCCCACATACCCCAATTCCTACGTACCCCAATTCCTACATTCTCCAATTCCAACATTCATCAATTCCAACATTCCCCAATTCCAACATTCATCAATTCCCACATTCCCCAATTCCTACATTCTCCAATTCCTACATTCTCGAATTCTCACATTCCCCAATTCCCACATTGCCCAATTCCCACATTGCCCAATTCCCACATTTCCCAATTCCTACATTCCCCAATTGCTACACTCCCCAATTCCCACATTCCAAGAAACAAAGAACAACCCAAAAGTGCAAAATAAAAAAGAAACAAAATTTCCTGCAACAGAAAATAAACAGAAATCCCAAAAAGAACATAGTATATAATTTCCATTCAGAACGAAAAAAGAATGCTACAAATATATTAGAATGACTAGTAGGAAACGAAGTTGAATATTCGAGGACCGTTTTGCCATATAATTAGATTCCAGTGTCGACCGCGTTAATTGCCGATCGCAACATGTTTTTTGTTGCGTCTATTTCGAGATAAACGCCACGGAATTACTGCGCGAAACAAGAAAGAATTTCCTGGCCGGCGAGTTCGAGGAATCAGGCGTCTAGAATCAACCGGAGGTCGTCGACCAAACTGGTTTCCGGTGAAGCATCGAACGGTACGAAGTCACTGGTACACGCGACTATTTTTCGTCATAGATATATGATTCACCGGGAAACACGATCATTACTAATTGTGAAAAACTGTCTCATTTAGAATTAATTAGAGCTCTCGTTACGATCTCGTCATTCGACTTACGGGAATGCTTGCGGTTTCCGTTTACGCGGTTTCAAGATCGTATATGGAATTTCGCTTACTCATGTAATTGTGGCGATCTCGATTATACGACGGTATTGAATATGTATGCACGCATGTGTGTAGTGGTAATATAATGCTTTTGCTGTTGCAGGTGGAACGCAACAAAAGAAAGAGAAAATACTGATTTAAAATTTAAGAGGCTTCGCAAGTTTTGGAGAGGTTTTAAAGGCCTTGAAGTTGGGGGATGTTGAAGTTCCTTGGCGGTGAAAATCTTAGAAGTATTAGGAGCTAAAGCTATTTTCAGGAGTATAAGAATTTGAGAGAGGCAGAAATTCAAGAAGGCAAAGATTGAAAGAAAAAATTTGGAAGAATTTCGAATTTCTAAAGTGTGTCAAGTTTGTGAATTATTGAGTACTGATATTTCTATATTAGCACATTCCCAAATTTTCGCATTCCCCCATTTTCACATTCTCAGATTTTCACATTCCCAATTTTCCATATTCCCCAACTTCTACAATTCTAAATTCCAACATTCCCAAATTCCCACAGTTCCCAAATCCCACATTCCTCAATTCCCACATTCCCCAATTCCCACATTCCCCACTTCTCACATTCTGTAGTTCCTGCATTCTCCAATTTCCACACTACTCAATTCCCACATTCCCAAATTCCAACATTCCACAATTCCCACAGTCCCCTAATCCCACATTCCCCAATCCCCACATTCACCAATTCCCACATTTCCCAATCCCCACATTCTCCAATTCTCACATTCCCCAATTCCCACGTTCTCCAATTCCCACATTCCCCAATTCCCACATTCCCAAATTTTCAGATTCCCAAATTTCTACATTTCCCAATTCCCACATTCCCAAATTGTCACACTCTCAAATTTCTACATTCCCCTCAATTCCCACATTCACCAATTTCCACATTCCCCAATTCCCACATTCCCAAATTTTCAGATTCCCAAATTTCTACATTTCCCAATTCCCACATTCCCAAATTGTCACACTCTCAAATTTCTACATTCCCAAATTTCTATATTCATCAATTCCCACATTTCCAAATTCCTACATTCATATATTCCCTAACTCCCACATTCCTAAATTGTCGCATTCTCACATTCCAACATTCCTAAATTGCTACATTCCTACATTCCCACATTTCTGCATTCCCACATTCCTACATTCCCAAATTCACAAACTCCCACGGTTCTAAGTTCCAAAAATAAAAATGTTCAGGTGTTTCTACCATAAGAAATCCCATATTCTCCAATTTATATATTCCTGCAATTTCTTCATTCATATATTCCTACAATTTCTTCATTCATACATTCCTACAATTTCTTCATTTATAAATATTTGAATTTCGCAACACGCAAATTTCGTACTTCCTAAATTCCTAAATTTCTGATTGCTACAACCCCCTGAATTACCAACTTCTAAAATTTCTCAAAATCCTAAGCTCGTATAATCCCAAATTTCAACACGGAAGATGTCATATGTACATTATACATTACACCGTTGCAACTGGTATCGCACGTGTTGTGCATACGACGTGAGCAAATATTATGACTGCCTGTCGGCTATACTTCCGTGACGCGATTCGCTATCGCGACTCAAAAGTGAAAATCCTCTAATAAGTGGAAAATTCTGTCGTCGCGAATTTACTATTGACACGTTCGCATATTATAGGATTCGGTTGCACACGAGGCTGTTCCGCGGGAGATCCACTTGAACTCGCGCTTCGTTCAGGTATTAAGTACCTCGAGATGTTTGTGTTTAATGATACAAAATCTTGTTGTCGATGATAGCACAAATACACTGATTTGTCGGGGATTATTTTGGACGAGAGGTTCTTACGCAATGTGATGAATTTTTATAACGATGACTGGGTGCTTAAAGTTCAAGACTTTCTGAGTTAAGTAAATTTGAAAATTTTAGAAGTTATTTCGTAGAAGAACTTTGCAATTTTTTAATATTGAAAGTAGAGTAAACTTTAAATATTGAGCTACGAGATGTTACTTAATTTTGGAAGGAGTTCACAGTTTGTAATTTTGTAGAAAAGTTTGTAATTGTTTTATGAAATTGTAGGTATTTGTTAAACACTTACTTTTCGTGGTACACGTTCCTGTATTTTCATATTCTCCAATTTCCACATTCCTCAATTCCCACATGCCTCAATCTCCACATTCCCCAATTCCTACATTCCCTAATTCCCACACTCCCGATTCCCATACTCCTCAATTTCAACATTCTTCAATTCCCATATTCCTCAATTCTACATGCCCCAATTCCCACATTCCCCAATTCCCACATTCTCCAATTCCACATTCCCCAATTCCCACATTCCCCAATTCCCACATTCTCCAATTCCACATTCCCCAATTCCCACATTCCCCAATTCCCACATTCTCCAATTCCACATTCCCCAATTCCCACATTCCCCAATTCCCACATTCTCCAATTCCACATTCCCCAATTCCCACATTCCCCAATTCCCACATTCTCCAATTCCACATTCCCCAATTCCCACATTCCCCAATTCCCACATTCTCCAATTCCACATTCCCCAATTCCCACATTCCCCAATTCCCACATTCTCCAATTCCACATTCCCCAATTCCCACATTCCCCAATTCCCACATTCCCCAATTCCCACATTCCCCAATTCCCACATTCCCCAATTCCCACATTCCCCAATTCCCACATTCCCCAATTCCCACATTTTCCAATTTTCACATTTCCCAATTCTCACATTCTTCAATTCCCACACTCCCCAATTCCCATTGGGGAATTTCTCCCATGCAGAAAGTTCATAATTGTTTTATGAAATGGTAGGTGTTTGTTAAACACTTACTTTTCGTGGTCTGTGAGGTTCCATTTTTCGAGTTCTGGCACCGTACACCAGTGCTCGGCGGGCACCAGGGTGATGAAGAATTGTGTGAAGTAGAGAAACGCGTAGACGAAGGTGAATGGCAGAAGCAAGATGAAGAGGAATAGTTGATATCGATTCGCTTCGCCAACATAAGGCAAGATGTCATCAAAGCTGCTGATCTTTGCATGTTCGCCCTCCTCCGCTTTCACGGACTCCACCATCACAGTCATTATTCCGGTCTCTGTGAATTAACCACACATTAATTATCTGAACAAGAATTAACCTTTTACAAAATCAGAATAAGTTCAAGATTAAATAGAACCACATAAATAGAAAGTAAAATATCAGTATAAAAATTAAATTAATTAAAATAAAATTTTAAAGGAATTGCAGTTCTCAATTTTAAACTTTAATTTTAATTTTAAACAAAAAATTTTAAAACGTATTATTGTGAATTTTATTACTTGAGTATCACTTTGCAATTGAAAGCAGAAAAATACACGAGATGAATAATATAATTAATCGATTAAAACACGTTTATCGTTTCACTTCTTCGAAGCTTATTACATCTCGATTACGGTTAATAAATCATCTTCAACCGGTTGTTATCCTGTCACTAAACCATTTGTCCTAACATTATTTCTTCCATTATCACGATATCAACGCATAAAATTAAAAAAATGATGTATTCACTGTGTAACGAAATACGATAAGCCGCACCAGGTGCGTCACACGTTTTATTGTATAGATAACATAAATTATTACATTGAGACAAGGTAAATATTAAACAGTATGTTTTATTGATATAATTCAGAGGTCTCAACCATGTGATTTGCATTGTACAACTTAAATAACACACGACACAACAGGTGCGTCACGTATTTTACCATACAATTCACTGCTTAGAAATCAGTTAGAGATTAAACAGCATAGTTCTTTGATATAGTTAAGAAGTTCCAACTATGTGATTTGCATCGTACAGCTAAACACCACATGACGCGACAGGTGCGTCACGTATTTTACAACACAAATCAGTTTTGAAATGAGTTACAAATTGAACAGTACAGTTCTCTGATATAGTTAAGAAGTTCCAACTATATGATTTGCATCATACTATTAAATATCATATGACGCACCAGGTGTGTCACATTTTTACAATACAAGTCACTGCTTTGAAATCAAATAGAAATTGAACAGTATAATTCTCTGATATAGTTAAGAAGTCCTAACCATGTGATTTGCATCGTAGAACTAAATACTATATGACGCAACAGGTGCGTCACGCGCTTTAGAAGTCACTGCTTTGAAATCAGTTAAAAATTGAACAGTACAGTTCTCTTATATAGTTAAGAAGTTCCAACTATATGATTTGCATCATACTATTAAATATAATATGACGCACCAGGTGTGTCACAAGTTATAATGTGCACTAAACATAACTCAGCTTTTGAACAAGAAACAAGAATCGAACAATGTGGTTTATTGATATAGTTCAAAGACCACGACCGCGTAATTTATACAATGTAATTAGTGGCCAAAAAAGCAGGCGTGCAAATGAGGTTTCTCTTTGTTAACAAAAAGAGTGATTTCGAGAGAAACATGTTTAATTGGTGTCAAGGTAGAAACTCAATCGTGAAAACAAAATTTTCAGGGACACTTTAGAAAATTTGAGTAATTTTTATAAATTCATGTATTAATTATAATGGGTTATTAATTGTAATATTAAGTGTAATAAAGTTTACGTTGTTACTATTTTTAACGGTGACTAACTTTATTCCTTGTCAATTGTTCTTTTTTCTCTCTACTAAACAATTATGTAAATACGGTAAACACAGCTGATCTTTAATTGTCTGAAACCGTAAGGATATCAGGGTAAACTAGAATTCGATAAACGGCATTTTGTTATTTAAATGAGCTGAATTAATTCAGCTCACATGAAAGACATTCTATCCTGTCATTTTTCACCCGATTCTAATCTCCGTTACATTTTCTTGTGAAACCTTTTCCGTATTCGACGGAGACTATCGAAGGAAAGCCACATTAGGTATTAAACATATTTATGGAGAAGCAAACAATCGTTAATAATGGAATTCGTTCGTTTGATTCAAAAGGATCGGTCGAGCGAACGAATGGTAATTAACTATTAAAGGATTGCAATAGTCTTGCAAAAGATATCAAGGATCTTTCGTTTTACAGTTCAGTTCACTTTAAATCGTGTATCCTGTTACGCTTATTTCGAATTACATGATAAAATGGGAACTGTAATGATATTCTACAATATTCAATAATTTCAAAATTTACTTTTCTACAAAAATTAAGTTTCATTAATTAACTCTATTTTTAAGATGAACTTTAAATTTTTAATCTACAAACGATCTAAAACTAATAGAGATATTAATTCTGAAATAGTGACATTAACCTAACCATTAGTTCAAATATTTATGTAACAGCACGCAAGCTGAATCAAGAACTACACTTAAAAAGTGTTTTAAGCTAATTATATTCGAAGAGTAACGCAATTCTTTTAAAACCTTTCGACAGGTAATTATTTAAAACAGTATGTCTAACTAGCAGTTGCTGTAATCCGCTTTTCAAATTTCCCGCGCAGAACGCCTCCAGCCAGAAATCTGAACGAAGACTATTACGCGTCTACCTTCAACGACCGATTACACAAAACGGTGGACCTTGAAGCTCGGATCCCAGAAGAAGTAATAATTAATGGATTAGTCTCGGTCTAACACAGATCCATGATTTTGCATACATGATTTTCCTCGCCTTCGTCGATCAGGGAAAGCGTTCGCCATTGGAAATTCAACGATGCACGCGCGCGTAAACGTCGCGCATGCGCAATAATAATTCGCGACTGTAAAAAAGTAGATCGACGATGTTTCACCTTTCTTTCGTTATCCGTTCCAAAAAGAGAAACACCGTAGAAAAACATTGAAGTAGACATTGCGTGTCTCATGGCCGATCCATTAATTGGCGTGATAGCGTTGTTCTTTCTAGGATACACGGGTTTCTTTCATCTTTGATAATGAGACTCTCAACGAGACTGATGGTTAAACGATTCTTCTCGTTTCTTTTTTGTTTATTGCACAATGGGAAATTGCGTTTATCGGTTGTAGCGATCGACGGGAAGAGAAGGTAATTTAAATTCTTATTGCGTGTTAATAGTCACTGTGTATGATAATGGAATTTCGTGTAATTGAACGATGAGTTAGTGTGATAGCGATGGATAATCGTGCGATTTAATGTTGAAGGAAAATTAAGTGCTCTGGGCGATGTTGGCGATGACGATAACTATCCTTTCTCGTGATTAAATTATGAAAATTTAACTTCGAGTTAAATTATATATTTTCAAGTTCCGAAGCTTAGCAATATGGATGTTATATATTGCATGGCAATATAAGGCGAGGTAATGTAATGTGAGTTAATATGGTACGTAACTATGTAGCACACAATGACACAGTTTGGCAATACAATAATTCATTGTTATAATAATTCATTGCTTGGCCATATAATGCGAGATATAATGAGGAATATAATGAGAGGCAATATAATACGAGGTAATATAATATATGGAAACATAATGTGTAACAATGTAACGTCTAGAAGTACAGTGTGAGGCAATATAACGCGTGGCAATATAGCCAGTGGCGATATAACGCATGACAATCTAATAGAGAGCTGTACAACACGTAGAAATAGAGTATGTGGCAATATAACGCGTGATAGTCTAGCGTAAGATAATATAACGCGTGGCAATATAGCGAGTGGCGATATAATGCAAGACAATCTAATAGAGAGCTGTACAACACGTAGAAATAGAGTATGTGGCAATATAACGCGTGATAATCTAACGTGAGGCAATATAACGCGTGGCAATATAACAAATGGTAATCCAACGCGTTGCAATATAGCAAGTGGCGATATAACGCATGACAATCTAATAGAGAGCTGTACAACACGTAGAAATAGAGTATGTGGCAATATAACGCGTGATAGTCTAGCGTAAGATAATATAACGCGTGGCAATATAGCGAGTGGCGATATAATGCAAGACAATCTAATAGAGAGCTGTACAACACGTAGAAATAGAGTATGTGGCAATATAACGCGTGATAATCTAACGTGAGGCAATATAACGCGTGGCAATATAACAAATGGTAATCCAACGCGTTGCAATATAACGAGTGGCGATATAACGCACGATAATCTAACGCGTAGCTGTGCAACACGTAGAAATAGAGTATGTGGCAATATAACGCGTGATAATCTAACGTGAGGCAATACGACGCATGGCAATATAACAAGTGGTAATACAACGCGTTGCAATATAACGAGTGGTAATATCGCGCATGATAAATTAACGCGTACTGGGACAACACGTAGCAATAAAGTATGTGGCAATATAACGCGTGATAATCTAACGTGAAGTAATGTAACGCGAGGCAATATAACAAGTGGTAATACGACGCGTTGCAATATAACGCGTAGTAATATCGCGCATGATAAATTAACGCGTACTGGGACAACACGTAGCAATGAAGTACGTGGCAATATAACGCGTGGCAATCTAACGTGAAGCAATGTAACACGTGGCAATACAACACGTGGCACTATAATGTATATCACCTAATACACCACGTAACGGTATCAACTATGAATACATAGAAGTTGCAAATTAATTATAACCGTATTACTCCGAATATTTGCATATATTTAAATCGAACTAGTTCGATGAGTTTATCAAGATTAAAAATGTTTACAAACGTCATGCAATGCCTGATAAAGAAACAGTCTTCAAACTCCGTATTTTTCCTCTTTGAATCTCAAGACAGATGCAAGACACATGCGAAAACAAGGAAGAATTAGACTTGCTCCAAAAGCGCATTGAACAGTGATTCATAAAAACAATTACAAGGTAGAATACAAATCGCAGATCATAATAAAAATAATGCTATGCACCAAAGACCAGATATCAAACATCGTTAACGAAGATACAGAAGTGAACGTACATTGTGATGCTGCGATATAAATGCAACGATGACAGAAAAAACAATGAAATTAACATAGATTCTGCATCCTGCTAAGCTCTACGCTTTGTTTCGTATGTTAAGCGACGGTCGTCTACTTTTTAGTAGGATTTATCACAAATTCCATCCACCTTTGAAGATTCAAGATACGTGCAGAAGTCATTCTTTTTTAGTCGTATCGATCGAACTACCTGCAATAAAGCACTCCTCTATTCGAGGAAAGACAAACGCGAATAGCATACCAAGAAATAGACACCGACAATGCGTACACTTTACACGATTTCGCACATTTACCTTTGGGAATGTTTATTGCCGCATATTTTGTTTTATATGCTATATCACAGCACTCTGAAGCTTTTGTTTTACGATTAGTATTATTTTGTTTTACGGTTAGTATTAGTGTTATTGAGGCGAACAAAGATGTTTCTGAGATTCTTCGAGAGAAGGTTTGAAACGATTTCTAAATTGTTTCTAAGTGTATTTTTGATGGTGGAAGTTCAATTCATAAACTGAAGTGGATTTGAAAATTTTTACTGTGGTGAAAGTACGAGACTTCGAGATTATGCTTTAAATTTAAGATCTGCGATTTTGTGGTTTGTGAAGTTTAGCAATTTGGGATTTGCATTTTTGTGAGTTATGAAGTTTTATAATTTAGGATTTGCACTTTTGTGGATTGTAAGTTTTGCAATTTTTTAATTTTTTAACTTGTGAAAGTTTGCAAGTTTGTAATCTGTGAATTTTGTAATATTGTAACTTGATAATTTGAGGAACTAAAAATATTAAAAATTAGAGATTTTTAAATTTGTGACTTGAGAATTGAGGACTTGAGAATTTTGAACATAGATTGAAAATTTGATTAATTTAATGATACAATTTTGGAAATTAAAATATTGAGAATTTAGGGATTCAGAAAATGACAGAATTTGTATCTTGAGTGCAAGAAATCAGGAACTGCAAAAATTTGATTAAAATTTGAGAACTCAATTCTTCTAAAATAGACACTTTTCAAAACTCTCAAATCCCAATTCATTCATACGAAAATCCCTCCGTTCACTCGAAAATCACTCCAAGCACATGATACCTTCACAACACTGATCACAAAGTGCTGTAAAAGCACGAAAAGAAATCGAACAGAATCACTGAACCGAAATGATTACCTTTAGATAGTTCGTCACAAAACTTGCACAAAAATTATTGTCAGAAAAAGAAATAAAAATTGAAATCGCAACGATCCGTGCAGGCAGCACGTGTTCGATCTCGATCGTGACAATGATCTTGGCCGAGCAGTGCACGAGAACCACGCGATTTTTCGTTGACGCCGGGCTACATATCGTCGTTTAAAAGAGGGCACGCACCGACTGTTGGCCGCGTGTACAATTAGTGGGGCTTTATAGCGCGTGCAAGAACGAAAGCGGTGGCCCCACCAGCAGCGCCGTGCAGCCATTGGACGACTGCCTTTGGGCCCCTTGAATCGCCCGTGACGTCACTGGAGAACTCTTTCAACGGGGGATTTCGCATCTGGTTTCGCAGATCTCGTTTGCCCGTGTCCCGTCATGGATCAGCGGTGTAACGTGTTTTCAGTACCCGTTGGGTTTTCTCGTGACGCGATCTCGCCTTTTTTTTTATTCTCGTTTAATCTCGCTTTACTGTTTTCCTCGTTCGCTTCGCGAGAAAGACGCACGTACGCGGTTGCAGGTGATAGTTAATGATGGATATCTGAAACGCAGCAGGTTTCTAATGATACGAGAATTCTTCAGATTTCGCGGGGATTTTTAGAAGAATTCTGAGGTGGAGACATGAGGCTTGGAGCGTGGAAGTGTTGCAAGTTTTTATTTTTTTGAGGATTGACGTTCTTCTAGTTTTGAATGTTGAAGGTTGCAGTTTTGGGGATTTTCAAATTTTCGGGGGTTCTTTGGACGTCATTAAATGTTTAGAATTTTTTAAGTTCTTAAAATTGTTGAGAAAATTAAGATTCATAAAATTCTGAAAATTATTGAAATTCATAAAATTTTCACAATTTTTGAGATTCATAAAATTCTTAAAATTATTGAAATTCATAGAATTTTTACAATTTTTGAAATTCACAAAATTTTTTCAATTTTTGAAATTCATAAAATTTTTTCAATTTTTGAAATTCATAAAATTTTTATAATTTTTGAGATTCATAAAATTCTTCAAATTATTGAAATTGATAAAACTTGTACAATTTTTGAAATTCATAAAATTTGTATAATTTTTGAAATTCATAAAATTTGTACAATTTTTAAAATTCATAAAACGTACAATTTTTGAAATTCATAAAACTTGTACAATTTTTGAAATTCATAAAACTTGTACAATTTTTGAAATTGATAAAACTTGTACAATTTTTGAAATTCTTAAAACGTATAATTTTTGAAATTCATAAAACTTGTACAATTTTTGAAATTCATAAAACGTACAATTTTTGAAATTCTTAAAACTTTTACAATTCTTGAAATTCATAAAACTTGTACAATTTTTGAAATTCATAAAACGTACAATTTTTGAAATTCATAAAACTTACAATTTTTGAAATTGATAAAATTAACAAAATTTATAAAACTGCAAGTCTCAAAATTCTTAAAATTCCTAAACATCTGGAAAACCTTGAAACTATCAAAAACTGAAAACGTGAAAAACCTCGAAAATCCTTGAAAGTTTCGTAAGTCCAGGAATCCCTAAAAAATGTTGAAAGTGTTGAAAGTGCAAGAGTTCGAAACGTGTCAAAAACCTTGAAGGTTTATCGATTCTTGGAGATCTTGTAATGTTAAAATGTTGAAAGTAACACGTCGAACTTGCAAATAAAATCACGGTTAATAATACGTTTTTTATTAGTAGACATACAAGCGGATGTTATTAATAAAAATGATACAAAAGCGATAAGAGTTGATGGAGCGAGATCGGGTTTGACTTCGATTGAAATAGTTCGATCGTGTTTGCGATCGTATTTATATTAATGGCAGATTGATTGGTTATGAGAGCGTGAATCAATAAGCGTGAAAAGTGATCGATGAATGACTTACTTTAGTTTCAATTTGTTTATAACAAGAACAATCATTCTTATTCTTCAAAATACTGTTAGTACACACAAGTACAAGTGTTAAAATAAAATACACTTTGATAATAAAGCATTCAAAATTACAATTTGACAATAGAACATTTAAAAATATAATTTGACAATAAAATATTTAAAAATACAATTTGACAATAAAACATTTAAAAATACAATTTGACAATAAATCATTTACAAATACAATTTGACAATAAAACATTTAAAAATATAATTTGTCAATAAAACATTTAAAAATACAATTTGACAATAAAACATTTAAAAATACAATTTGACAATAAAACATTTAAAAATACAATTTGACAATAGAACATTTAAAAATATAATTTGACAATAAATCATTTAAAAATACAATTTGACAATAAAACATTTAAAAATACAATTTGACAATAAAACATTTAAAAATACAATTTGACAATAGAACATTTAAAAATATAATTTGACAATAAATCATTTAAAAATACAATTTGACAATAAAACATTTAAAAGTACAATTTGACATTAAAACACTTGAAAGTAAGTTAACAATAAAGCACTTAGAAATAAATGAACAATAAAACAAATTTATAAAAATCAAATGTAAATAAACCCTTCAATTGCAAATAACTCGTATCTAAATTTCAAGTGGAATGGTATTTATTTCGGTCCGCCCGAGTCGGAACAAAATTAACGTCATTAATAATTAATTAGCAAAATTGAAATTCCTTCGAACTGAATCGACAATGATCGATACTCAGTTCATTCTGCCTGCGAATAAATTTAGCGTTCAATGTTGTTTCTCTGAATAAGAAAAATCAAGACGAAATCTGGTATACGATAACGATTGGAAGGCGAATTAAATAAATGATTAGATAATGAATTTATATATTCCTGTTTTGCACGATTAATTTTCATTATGATTTCATTACTAGAATTCTGATATTTGTAGGATGGTATATTTTTAGGTCAGAACCTAAATGTTCCTAGATACTAATACAATTAAGATCAGAATATCCCTAGATACGATTAATTTTCATTATGGTTTCATTACTAGAATTTTGATATTTCTAGGTTGCTATATTTTTAGGTTTAGATGTTTTTAGATATCGATACAACTAAAGTCTGAATATCCCTAGATACCGATACGTCTGAGGTCCCGATATCCCTAGACTCTCATATCTCTAGGTCTCGATATCGTTAAATCCCCTAAAATCTCAATGTCCTTAGATCTATATGCTCCCAGATCCCTATGTCCCTACATCTCCATACTCTTAGATCCCTATATCCCTAGATTTCTGTATTTCTAGATTGCCATGTCCTCAGATTCCTACGTCCCCTAGATCTATGAGTTCCTAGATTCCCACATGTGTAGATTTCTATGTCTCTAAATCCCTATGTCTCCAGATTTCTACGTCTCCAAATCCCTATATCCCTAGACCTCAGTCTCTATAAATCCCTATATCCCTAAACTCCCATATATCTAAATCATTATGTCCTTAGACTCCTATATTTCTATCAGTATATCCACATATGTATGTGGGATTCGGTAAAGGGGAATTAATTTTTGCGTGGTATGAGTGTGTGTGATGTACGAGTGTGAAACAAAAGAGTGTGAATGCGTAGTATAAAAAAACGCGACAGCGTCGAAAGGACAGGGCAGTCTTGGCCGAACCGTAGAAACGTGAACTATCAAATTTTGTATTCCTTTCAATTTATTAAATTATTTACTATAACTTTAATCCGTTTCTCATCTTCTTGCTCCCATCCTACATGTATCTGTAGATCACACGCGCGCCAAGAAACATATCCCCACATGTCCACACATTCAACCTACAATTCCGCCATTGATTTAGCCATTGATTCTTTTGTTTATTCGTGAAAGCAGCAAACAATAAAATTCAACAGGTGATCGATTGACCCAATTTTGGCGAAATAAATTCGCTCGGAGCTTCCTGATCCTCGAGCACAAAGTGATGAATTGCCCAAGGCGAAGTGTTAGTGAGTAATGAAATCCATTCGCGAAACTCCGGATACGGAGAACCCGAGCTCTCGGGGACTCCGCGTGTACACTCGATACCCTTGAGTAATAGAGAACTATACTTTTTCGTCTACCATAATCGTTCCGTAACATTTGGACTGTCTAATACCCGCACGACTAGATAATGAATTACGATCCGTGTTTTATGCTCGTTATTTTCGTGCGAGCGTTTTTATCGGGGTAATCGCGTGCCTAATCAGTCGTAGTATCGTGTGCCATACCAGCCACGTCTATTTCCATCGAGGAAATCATCGCGTCGATTGTGTGTCTATACACTTATTTAATTCTACAAGTTTTTTCGCGGAAGATCCATCTAGGGAGATTGGGATCTAGGGAGATTGGAATCTAGGGAGATTTGGATATGGGGAGATTGGGATTTAGGGAGATTGGGATCTAGGGAGATTGGGGTCTAGGGAGATTGGGATCTAGGGAGATTGGGATCTAGGGAGATTGGGATCTAGGGAGATTGGGATCTAGGGAGATTGGGATCTAGGGAGATTGGGATCTAGGGAGATTGGGATCTAGGGAGATTGGGATCTAGGGAGATTGGGATCTAGGGAGATTGGGATCTAGGGAGATTGGGATCTAGGGAGATTGGGATCTAGGGAGATTGGGATCTAGGGAGATTGGGATCTAGGGAGATTGGGATCTAGGGAGATTGGGATCTAGGGAGATTGGGATCTAGGGAGATTGGGATCTAGGGAGATTGGGATCTAGGGAGATTGGGATCTAGGGAGATTGGGATCTAGGGAGATTGGGATCTAGGGAGATTGGGATCTAGGGAGATTGGGATCTAGGGAGATTGGGATCTAGGGAGATTGGGATCTAGGGAGATTGGGATCTAGGGAGATTGGGATCTAGGGAGATTGGGATCTAGGGAGATTGGGATCTAGGGAGATTGGGATCTAGGGAGATTGGGATCTAGGGAGATTGGGATCTAGGGAGATTGGGATCTAGGGAGATTGGGATCTAGGGAGATTGGGATCTAGGGAGATTGGGATCTAGGGAGATTGGGATCTAGGGAGATTGGGATCTAGGGAGATTGGGATCTAGGGAGATTGGGATCTAGGGAGATTGGGATCTAGGGAGATTGGGATCTAGGGAGATTGGGATCTAGGGAGATTGGGATCTAGGGAGATTGGGATCTAGGGAGATTGGGATCTAGGGAGATTGGGATCTAGGGAGATTGGGATCTAGGGAGATTGGGATCTAGGGAGATTGGGATCTAGGGAGATTGGGATCTAGGGAGATTGGGATCTAGGGAGATTG